CAATTTCAATTTAATTAATTCAGGTGCAATCATGGCTCTGTTAGCTTTTCTCTAATTCAAGAGCAAAGGGATTTGCATTGGTTGAAACTGAAGTAGTAAGCATTTTCAAGTGCATAATCTGTTAATGACATATAGTATTAAAACCACACAAGAAACAGCAATGATCATTACCAAAAAGGTTTTCAATATAATCTGTACAGATATGCATGTATGAAAAATATGAAATCTCTAAACTATACTTGAAAAGGTTTTGAGAGGCCAAGAAGTTCATCTGCTTTTTTCTGTACAGGTGCTATTAGTTGAACAACGGAGTTATGGATTGTAACAGTATTTTAACACCTATGTAAATTAAAAAAAAATCAAACAAATCATGGAATCAGAGATGTGGAAATGGTAGAGGACAACTGCAACAAGTAATAAAAGAAAGCCACAAATGCTACTCCCATTACATACAGCTGGAATGGTTCACAGCATTTAGGAAATAACATCTTTACTGGTTCCTATAATTTAATGATGTTGCAGGCACAGCTGAGTAGGGATCAAGAACGTCTTGGCAATACAAGTGTGTTTTCTTCTTGTTGGAAGATGATTATTCATTGAACAATATTCGTGAGTTCATAAAGATCAGGCTGGGACTTCTGGGCAAGTCTTCAGAGCAAAAAAGTGCTTCTAATCCACTGTCCTGGTACTTCATTCCTGTGTGATTAAGAACTGAACTTTGGCTACTAGAAAGTTTGAGCCCTTACTGTATTAACTTATGTAATTTTATTGCATTATGAAGTTTATGCAATACAAAACAGAATACTCCAAATAAGAGAGCTCATAACACAAGAACATTAACACACAAACAGAAAAGGGTTTGGGGTTTTCCTATCACAATTGAATACCGTGACAATTATGTTATCAATTCTTTGACATAATTTGTCCCTCTAGGATTTTTTTCATTACTTTTTGACAGGTAATAATAATAATAATAATAATAATAATAATAATAATCCATCTCCTGCCCCTTGAAACAAACACAGTTTTTTTCTGAGTGACAAGAAAGCAAAAATACAGGAATACAAAAGCTTCATTAAATGGGGATTCATTTGGAAGTGATTAGTTAGGGTGAGTGCCTAAACACCATTCCTAGAGATGTGGAAAGGGAAAGTGATAAAAAGGGCACAGAGAAGGGGAAGAATTTACTGTTACAGACAGTATCTGTAAAACCAGCAACAAGGATGAGGTGATTCATGGCACCTAAAGCACCTGTATGAAAACAAGAGGTAACATCTATAAAGTGATGTCCCAAAATAGCTGTTAAAATATTACTGATCATGATTTCACTACTTATCACCAAGACACTGGTACCTGTACTTACCAGTGTCTATGCAAAGCAAAGTAACTACTTTGAAGAGCTAGACTTGAAGAGCCAGAAGACTAAGAACTCAGATGCAGAACCTGATGGAGCATCCCAAGGCACTTAGGTTGCAGTGGTTGCAGAGTGCCAAGCTATTGCTCTATCCCAACACTCCTCCTCCAAGGGAAGAGAGCTGTCATGTGCAGCAAAACCCTTCCAGAATTTCACAGATATGCTTCAAATTCAGACCAATCTTTGTTGGGTTACAAGCACAACACCACAAAGTATCTTTGCTTAAGTATATGATTCTATATGCCATAGGACTGTACTGCTTCATTAACTGCTAAAAAGTGGTATTGATAGATGCTAGATATTTTTATACAGTTACTTAGAAATGAACTGCAACATGAAAAATATTAACCATATTTTTTTAAAAAAGTTGTTATGCATCTTAACCTACTATTTAGCAATTTTACTTTATTCAAGTAATAAATAATACAGCGTGGAAAGCTTAATTGGTTAGAGTATAGTACTTGTCGATGTAAAGTTCCTTAACAAACTGCATTTTATAAACTACTATAAAACTAGATCGCATTTTAAGATGATGCTACTAACTGAGAAAAATTTGTTTGAACTTTCAAGTTTAGTACCTTCTCTAATATTTTAGGGCTTTCTTGAACTTATTAGCATACCAATTGGCAACTAACTTTTGCACAGAACATATTTGCTAGCACTCTGCAGTTTAGCACATTACCGGGACACTCTGAAGATGCTGGTAAAATTGAATGTAAAAGGAGTGAAAGGAACAGATTTTTAGTACTTAAAACAACAGCAAAAAAAATAAATAAAAAAATCATTAAACCTCCCCCCCAAATATTCAAGAGAGAATCTGCTATTGGTTTTATATGAAAGGAGAACTCTTGAGCATCATGATGAAAAAACAAATCACTTTAAGGAAATGTATTTATTTAGTGCACTGAGTTTTTGTTATTTACATTCAGCAGGCGTCTATCCATGACTAGTTGTTGTACTGCGTATAAATACTGCAGCATATGGAATGCCTGTTGACATATCTCTTCTTCACATCCAGGTATAACTGACTGAATGCCAGGATGCTGTTAACCACACTATTTACCAGCAGAGGCACAAAATTGGCTTGTCCCAGCAGGAATGATAGAAAAATATGTTGCTGAATATCCAGCAGGGTATCCATCAACAGTGTATGTTCAGGACTTAACAGGCTACAGCTTTTACTACTCTCTTGGGACACATATTCATTACAGTATTTGGGAGAAGACAATTTATAATAACACTTTCTGAAGGACTGCATTTCTCTGTCTTTCTCATCCAAGATCCCAAATTTCCAATTGACTTGTACTAATTAGGCTGGATGTACCCAGACTGGTATTCCTAAAGAACGACAAAGTCTCTGTCAGCCTACTGCATAACCATTCTCTTGCCTTTCCCACTATGTATTACTCTGATAATTTTCTTTAAGGTAGGAGTATTACATAATGTGGGTAAAAATGTATGTTTACTATACACTTAAATGATGATCTACCAACAGGTAGATCAGATGCAGAACCTGATGGAGAATCCGGGTAACAGTGAATCTCTTATAGATCAGCTATTACCTAGAACAGAGCAAAAGAAGTTGGCACATTCATGGGGTGCAGGCAGGGAATCAGTCCTTCAGACTACGCCTAAAATCTACAGCCTGTCTGGATGTCACAGATAAGACCTATTTGCAATGGGAAAGTGATTTGACAGGCAGGAACACACAGGCACGCAAAATCACAAAATCACAGCATTTTATTCAGCCATTAAATTAATGTAGAGCAACAAATTCACGTCAAAATTAGCTCAGGAAAAGCCAAGTCTCTATTACCATCATAAAAAAATGCAGTAATTAAAACAAACAGCTAAATCTGAGTTTGAGCTCCATATATATAGACTGTGCTGTAAAATTTGCAATTTGAACTCCTCATAATGGCTTTGCTTCGATGACAATCCCAGCACTAACAACTTGGGGTTTAAAATCAGTTTAGAAACTATATAAAGTTTAAACAAACAAACTAGAAAGTGGAATAATAAAAATAAATAAATAAATAAAATAGCAAAAAATCTAAGCATGGGATCAGAACCCTCAAGGCTATGTTACTGTGAACAGATTTCACACTGTTATTATTTTTTCTTGGTTACCATTAAAATTACACTGCAACCAACCCAGCTGTGTGCTATTTATAGAGATCAAATCATTATAAAGACATGTTTATGCTACAGGCAGCAGCAACGACATTTTTTCCCCTCGTTTTCAAGTCAATTAGGAGAGAAAAACATTGTAATAACTTTTTCTTTCTCGTTCTCCTTGGCATTATAGGAACAGTTTATTTTCATTGATTAAGGCCACAAAATACTCACAAGTCTGTCAAAAAAGAACAGACTTTACTAACTACCAATACTTTCATGTTAAGCTTTCAAGTTAGTAAGTATAAATATATTTCTTATTAATTCTCTCACTGAGTAGACTTCTCTTTCAGCTTGTTTGATCCAAATGGCTTTGACCATTCTTAAATAACAGCAATAAGAGAAACAAAGGGATTAATGTGCAGTGGGTGCGGAAGGAACAACAGAAGGTGAGAAGTAAGAAACAAATCTTTGCAGCATCTTCCATTGTGAGTAACACTGTGCAGATGTTTATGCGGAAACACTGCAAAAAATAATCTAAGCAAAAGCACTGCTTGATCTCACCACCCAATTTACACCAGACCACAGAGTGGAAACCCAGCTTAATGAAACTGAGACCACCTGCCTCAGCATTACTATTATGGACAGAATGGAGATCTGTGTTATAAGGCCCTACACAACAAAAAGCCTGCCAGGTAGGAATAAACTCTGTGATTCCTGGGATGCTGTAGCATGCTATCAGTCAGCAATATAAGAATGTGCTGCAGCCCTGGCTCCAACAACCTCTAGATATTGATCCTGTGGGTAGGACTCATCACTCTTAAATTTAGTCACCAAAAAAGTTAGGTATGTACCCTAAGTGGGATGTCTAGACTCTCTTGGTAAGCAATGGAGAAAGACAGGTATCTCATGAAGGCAATTTATCCTAACCTATGATGGGTGTCTCAGGTGGAATGAATCAACCGCTGGAACTGTTTCTCTCCATTGAACTGAAGATGGAAATCAGAAGAGTAACTTAGTCTAGACATCTAACTTTTGGATGACTGAGAGTCAGGGAAATGAATCCAACTCTATCTCTCTATTTGCCACTTCAACAAGCACTACTCTATGTGAATAAAGTGTATTTGTAAGCAAACCTTGGACTTGGAACTTGCTTTAAATCCCATGTAACACTGGGAACCACAAGTTGCTCCCAAATCAGCCTATCTATTAGCACTGACATAATGAGCTTGTGCTTTTACTATGCAAGGCCAATTGCTCATGCTGTTTCCTATAGAACTGGCTGACTTGAAGCTTCACTACACAGCACTAAATCAAACCAGCAGAAATTCTTAATTATCCTGTTCAAAGCACTGATTAAGAATTTTGTCATGAATGACAAATCTCACCCATCAGTCTTTTAACCAAATGAAATACTTCATATACATTGAAAAGATTAGTGACAAGAGAAAAAAACAGCAGTGATACCTACTTGTCCAAGAGTGCACTCCATGCCACCAAGAAAATCTGCCTCCTTCAGCCCATTGTGGTTGCTGCTAATGTCGTGGACTTCAAACCTCAACCGCTGCACCTCTTCAAAATAGAAGTCCACTGTGAACAGCTTGGAGAAGACGGGATTTATACAGGTTCGAATCACTTCTGTCCTGTCAACCTGCCAAATGGAAAAGAGGTCATATGAGTGGCTTCTCGTTCTAGCAGTGATGGACTATAATGAGTCCTTCAAACACAGTTTTGTTCAGTTATCAGGATTGACAGCTGTGACCATGACCACAGGCACTACCATCTGTATGGGCAGCCACTGCTGCCTTTTTCATGTAGGGCTGGCCGTGTGTACAAGGCAAGGCCAGCTTCCCTTGCCTCTCCCTTGTAGCACATCTTTGGAAGGGCTTGGTAGGAACACAGGGCACAGCGTACAGCCTCCTTTGCAGGGTGAATAATGATTGCCCCAGCCGGGTATATGAGATCAGAAAGAAGGTAGAGCCAGTTGCTGAGCACAAGCAAAGCAACTGTCTTGTGCTGGCTGCGTAAATATTTACATAAAACCATCTATAAAACAATTCAATTGTGATCAACAGAACTAAACTAAGAATGAATTTGGTCAGTCAGGAAAAAAAAAAAAGAGAAAAATCTTATAAATGCTATAAGGATGCATGTAAGTTTGAACTAAATCCCTACAAGACTTGTTACTTCACCAAGTTGGTCTTATTTTCTTATTAGAATCATTTAAAAACAAACGAGAAGTCTGTGAGCAAAGAGCCAAATATGAAACAGTCAAATAAGTTATCATGCCTCAGCAAGTTATCCCCTTTCAGTTCAATCACAATAATTGAACCAAGACATGTTTTTAGCACAACTAAGACAACTGAAGCCAGCATACCTCACCTTGACTTGGAGATGACTTGCCACATATAGTCTGCTAGTCTATCATTGGATGGCCAAATCTTCTCTACCTGGTTATAATTTGATCACTTTGGAGCATATATTCATATCTTTAGATGCCATTAATTTTACTTAACACAGGTAATAACAACCTTTAGCTCCTTCCCTACTGCTAAGCAAATTTTAGCTCTGCATATATACTCAAAAAACCTCCTGGTCACAGCAATATTTCTGTGCTTAGATTTAGCAGAGAGATCACAGGAAACAATGAGAAATTTCCTTTTCCTCAATGAAAAATATGGTCTGAGTTTCCCCTAAGTGGTCATTGCAAACAACAGTGGCAGAGTGGTATGGTGCGCTGTGATTATCTAGGGATAATAACTGTGAAATTAACTATAGAATAACTACAGAATTTACATCTCCAGCAGTACCAATCCATCACTACAGAAGAGCAGCAGAGTGATGCAGTTTTATCAAACTAAGTGAAAAAACAAGCAAAACCCCAAGAAATTACTCATTTTGGACAATGTACATGACTAAGGAGTAGAGAACTGGATAGATAGCAAACAACTTTTCATAAAAATATATCAATTTTTCCACCTTGCCAAGTAGCATTACAAGAATCTGACTGATTATATGCTTCTTACTGCTACCTCCAAACCTTACAACTGCTGAAGAAACACCAATGAATCTACATTTTTATTTCCTAAAAAAAAAAAGTGTTCACTGAGTGTTTTCCAGTTCTCTTAAAATGCAGTTCTTGGGTTTCCTGTTCTTGAAGTAGGGCTTTGCTACTTTTCATTATGATGCATTACTGGTGACAGCGAAAGCAATGAAGCAATTTCCTTTTTCTCAGTCTCTTTGCTTTGGTACAAAACAAAAACAAAACCCTGATAATTCTGTAAGATTAAAAGAACTGATCCTAAAATGAAGGAGGACTTGGGCACATCAGTCACAAGACAGGAGGTGGTTCATGTGCCATGGAAGAGACAAATTAAATTGCTCAGAGGAAGAGTGATGAGATCCTTTGTCTGATTCCTGATCAGGAACATCTGTTGTGCAAAAAATGACAGCCACTTGCTTCACTTTCCAGAGTTTATAACACATTAGCCTTGCTAGTAGTTATCGGCAAGGACACAAAGAGTCAAGTAAATCAAAAGTGGGAAAAAAATCATCAGTTCCTGGTAGCAGAGATTTATTTTAGTGCTCATGAAAGGTGTCAGATTGACAGCTCTAACCGCTGAAATCCTTTAGTTAATCATCAAACAGGTGCTACCAGTCATCAAATGGATGCAAACCAGTGCTACCAGTGCTGTCTCCTCACACAGCTATGTCAATGTGCTCTGACTGTGACAAAACCATCACATAAAGGAAAGCAGCCTTACTTACAAGCTCAATTCTTAATCTCTTTGCTTAGACTAGGCAAAAATGATGGTTCTGATAACAACGATGCAAAGCATAATAAGAATAATGTAAGTGGGAAAGGATTTTAGATACCTTACTTCAGGGGCTACGACTATTTCAAAAAATTTTTGAATCTCTACTTGGTATTAAAGTGGCTTGAATTCTCTCTGAGACAACATTCACTACTCCAGGTGTCCAGTCAGTTGAATGGGATGTCCTGAGATCTCTTCTAAGTGGAAAGGGATTTGATCCATTCAGTCATTTCATGAAACACTGAAGCAAGAAATCCCATAATTAAAACATTTACATGATCTATTTTAAACTTTTCTGTATAACCACTGTAATCGCCTAAATTCATTCCTTGTAGGCCTATAAAATGCTAATTTAATGGCAACCAAATCATTTAAAGTGTTTAACTGGTATGGCAGCTCTCCTCAGGCAGCAACTGAAGTTTTTCTGTCATTGTTTCTCCTCATCTCTGGCACGCTGCTGCTGTGATATGGGGAAACTCCACTGTGAAATGCAGATTTATACGTATGCTCAGCACAGGTTAAATCTGTGACTGCTCAATGGAGTGAAGTGCCTGAAAATGGAGGCACGGGTCTGGACACAGTGACATTAAGAATTTCAGTCTCGCACAGCAGTAGGACACTGCTTGCTTTTTCCAGCCTGTGACTGACTGACAGCCTTCCCTTGACAGACACTGTACTGAAATAAAGCCATTCCACTGAGTTTCCCCAGTCTTCCCACATTATCGAGATGATACATCAAGCCAGCATGTCATAGCATTGGATTACGTGAGAAAAATCTATATCGAAAGAAGCAATGCCAACAGCTCCACAGTGATAGAAAACTTCATGCTCCTCTCAGCAGCAAGCAGCGTACAATAGCATTAAGCCCTATTAGTCTGCCCTGTTCCCAGTCTGCTTTGTCAGCAGTATTTCGGTTACTCTGTGCTTTGCCTAGAAAGTCTAACACAGTCCTTAGCACAGGAAGTCCGGCTCCATTCCCTCGCTTTGACTACTGTGCTGCAGGGCTGAGCACCAGCAGCCAGCTGGTATGATTCATGCTGGAGAAGCAAAGGGTGAGCACAGAAACTCAGTAAATTCACTTAAAGTGAAATCTGGAGATACGCTTCAGAGAGATATGCTAACCCTGAGCACAAGTCCAGCTGACAAGACATCAACCAGCAGCTGACAAGACATCGCCTGCATGCCAAAACAGAATGATGAACACCAGCAACCATATTAAATTTCCATTACTTTTGTTAAAGAGAGCTTTTAAGTCCAACAATAGGATGCTACAAACAAGCAGCACTTAAACTTTTTCTCCTGTTACAGAGAACACCGAACTCTAGGGCAACCTAATCCTGAGGGCAGGTGGATTTCTCAGGACACAGGCAAGGGTCATGCCCACAGCTTTCGGATTTGTTGACACCTGACGTTTGAGCCATCTGCTATTTCTGGACTTTGCTGGAACAGGGAATTTCTCCCATTCGTTAAAGCAGGATGATTTTTCAGAAGAAAGAATGGACAGCCACATGCACCTTTGAGCTGTGTCATCAGCTAAAACTGACCTTAAAAAGAGCAGTGCTTCAGCTGCCACCAGGATCTGAACATCTGCTTCGTGGTACGGCTTTAGCAGCACATTGCCTTCAAGGACAATTTATACAGAAAAAAGGACTTGCATCTTCCCCTCCCGGGATGGACTCACGCTGCTTTCCCTCTTCATCTCTTTAGGCCCTTGTCACTCCACAGAAGGTGGCACCCTGCTGAGTAGCTAGGATTACTTGGCAGGCCCATCTGGATGCAGCCACCCTGTGAGCTTCCCCTTAGGGAACTGTGAATGACATACAAACACCAAAGTAGGCCTCCACAGCATAAAGCTCCATCTCAGTAGAACGAACTAAAATATTGAAAAGGACCTCTAGGACCAGAAGACTTTTTCCTACCCCAAACTTTGGAGGTTTGATTAGGTTATTGCAGGCATTGCAGCCAACAGAATCAAACAGGCATCCCTAACCTTCCTATTTCTCCTCTCTTCAGGTTAATCTTATTTACCTCACACCAGGCTTTGCTTTGGGCCTTCTGAATCCTCCCATCAAATCCAGAGGAAGCTGGAAGCTAGATCTGAAAGCTTTTTCTCAGTGTTATTTGCTGTGGATGGACAGTTAGCAGAAGTGTTTGCCTGGTTTCCCATCTACCCGCCATCACAGCTAAAGAACTACAGAACTGCCTCTGCAGTCAGACAACATCAAATTAAAGAAAACTCAAAGGACGGATGAACAAATAATAAATTTCAGGCTTCTCATGCTGTTTGCAACTTTTCCTCTGTGAGCTACAGAAAAGCAGGGAGCTCTGTAAAACTGTGGTCAACTTGGTAACTTCAATGAGGAAAAAATCTTCATCCTTGCTGTAATTTTCCTGATGGAAGCAGCACCGTGGTTAAAGCACAGGCTGAGGATGGATCTCCTCTCCATTTTCTACCTTCAGTTGAAAACTGAAGTGAAGGAGAAAAAGCCAGCCTGAGGGATTTTTTTTTTTTCTTTTTCTATCAAAATTAGATGAAGTATAAGCTGTTATATACACAAGGATGAACAAGGATCAGGCAGAAGTTCACTCTGGTGAAGTTCACCTGGTATCTAAGGCTTTAAAATGATCGCAAACACAGCTTTCCTATTGTGCCATTGGGAACCAGGGAAATGGAGAGTTATCTAGGACCTGAAGCTCTCTGCCTCAAGGCTCTGCGTGAGCATTTAGCACAGGTCAGCTCTGTGCAGGACTCACTCATCCTGGACAGATAGAGTGGAGAACAAATAGATACCAGTTATTTCTTGTAAACACATAACTAGGAACCCCTCCCCAAATT